TCTGCTCTGCTCTGCTCTGCTCTGCTCTGCTCTGCTCTGCTCTGCTCTCCTCCATTCTTCCAAATAGTTAAGCCTAACATTTTAAGTAATATTCTTTATTTTTGCAAAAGATTGCAAGACTTATGACTGCTGTACAAGCTCTGCAGAATTTCCTACAACACGTGAACCTCAATACTAATACTGTAAGTACTGATAACATATTTATTCAACCATATGCTTTATTGTACTACTATATTTTTTATAATTAGCATAGTTAATAGAAAATTAACTATGCTATAGAATAGTCACGAAGTCCTCACTACTGGGAGTCAGTCTGACATAGGTCTTTGTAATTGCCACTAGCTAAACGTTGACCAAAAAGTAGAGTTATATTAGCTGAGAAAATCATATACAGACGTAGAAGTAACTAACTCCTCCATCACACCACTGAATCTATTGCGCACTGTGCCACAGACGTAGAAGTAACTAACTCCTCCATCACACCANACAGACGTAGAAGTAACTAACTCCTCCATCACACCACTGAATCTATTGCGCACTGTGCCACAGACGTAGAAGTAACTAACTCCTCCATCACACCACTGAATCTATTGCGCACTGTGCCACAGACGCGAATAAAAAACCAACCGACACTTCTTTTATTTTATACTTTTTTTTTTCAGTACTTTCATAAAACCCTCACTAATTTCCATCTTGTAAATAAAGTATATCATAATCGTAATCTTGTACCAAAGTCTTAGCTAGCATGGCTCATTAAGATCTTTGTCCTTTTGAACTTGTTGTCGGTGTATGGGTATAGCAAWTTTTACTTTTATATTAATCATCCTTATTATGTTTCCAGGCTAAAACCACACATGTTGAAGTAGGAGTAACGCAGGAAAGGGGTGATTTGGTTACAGAAAACGCCGAAGAAACCACAGAAGGAATTGTGGTAGAAAACAATGAAAGTGATAATGAAAGTACCGAGATGGTTGACGCCGAATCCACGTGGGATGAGGAACACGAAACAGGAAACGGAAATGAAGACCAGTCCAAGGAAAATAATAGTAGTGAAGAAGAATTAGAGAGAGTGACGAAGGTGGATGAAGAAAAGGGTGATGAAGAAGTGGAAACAGGAAACGGAAATGAAAACCAGTGTAAGGAAAATAATAGTAGTGAAGAAGAATTAGAGAGAGTGACGAAGGTGGATGAAGAAAAAAGTGATGAAGAAGTGGAAACAACGGACAGGAACGATGGAGAAGCCGCTGAAGATGCGGAAAAGGAACCGGAAGAAGAAACAACATTGGTTAACGATATTGGTGAAAATACTCAAGTTAACAAAGAAACAGCAGACGTTAACGCTAGGTCATCACCCAATATAGTCAAGCTGTCATCCAGTGAAATGGTCGTGGTGGGTTGTCTGTGTTCTTATCTTCAAATATGTCCCTATGGGGCCACAACTGACCAGGTGCTCAGTCATATCACACGACAAGTTTCCGGCGTGACCCCTGAAGATTTGGAAAGGATTTTGAATGGCTTGCCGATGTTATTCTCTGGTGATGGGCTGGACTTTATGAGCAAAACCTGGAAATTTAATGTCTTGAATATGTAAAGAAAACAAAAGGAAAATTAATAAGCAAAAATTGTTTTTTGCTTCCAAAATTGACGCTCACATTAAAAAAAAGTTAACCAATTTTGGATTTTAAGAAAGTGTACATTCGCCAACTGAACTCCGATTCCTTAAAATCCCACTTTTTTGAAATCGTAAGAACTGGATAAAACCGCTGTATTTCTGCGCAGACAAACCCTGTACTTATTGTCACAAAGTTTTTTCAATTAAATTCAATTAGTGCCCAGAGGTTGTTTCAGGGTTCGATGCGTCTGTAAGTTATCCGTGCCCTGACTTAGATCAACCCAGAGGTTTTTTCAGGTTTTGATCTGTGAGTTAGCCGTGTCCCGATCAATCAACCAGTGGTTTTTTCAGGGTTTGATAAAATTGAGGGTTGGTTGGTTTTTTACGAGGCCCGTTCTCACAACTTTGCCTTTAGTTTAAGGCTTTGATGATACGCATCGTATTAGTTTGTCAGAACTCTTTATATAGAACCTCTGTAGAACTTTTTGTTGAGAACCTCTTTGTATAGAATTCTTCGTAGAGCCTGACGATCCTTTTGACAAAGCAAAACAGGAACAAAAAGATCCAAATTTTTTAAGGTTTAATATTTGTTTTCTTTCTAAACTGCATGATTTTTATTCAGTATTTATTCCTGTCTTAAACGTAATTTGTGCATACATGTACATATATCAAAAATAAAGTGATATATAAAATGAAATTTTGTCTTCATAGATTAAAACCGTGCGATATCGCTGTACCATTATAGCGCAACGCCTCTGAACAACTGGGAACAAATTGACACAAGCCAAACTTAATTAATAGAGCTAACGCTCTTTTGTTGTAAGTAGTTAGGAAAAACGCTTCTTTGTCGACAGGTATTTCGTGGGTCTTCTTGGCTCTCCCCGTTTTGCCATGGAAAATATGAAATGAATTGCTATCGTATATGAAAAGCAAGAACAAATGAGTCGTCTCTAGTGAGCTTTTCCTGGCTAAATTTTGGAATCATCTTTGAAGCGGTGTTTGACTTACTTTAGCTCGTGTAGTACTGATTCAGTAGGACACGTTAGTAGATTTCTAAATTTATAGGTTATTTTATTATACAGATAAGGCAACCGTCAAGAGTGGTGCAGAGGCACCCCCTCCCCCCTGTCTCGATTCGATTCATGTGTTAGGCGCACATGTGAGGAATGGTTGTTAGGTCTGTCCCTTGATTAAATCGAGGGTTTTTATCTGGGTTCTTCCCTCCGAAAAATTTAACTAAACTGTGGGTTAGCCATGCCCTGACTTTGATCAGCCCAGAGGTTGATTCAGGCCTTTGAAGTTATTTTATGTTAGTTAAAAAGGGTCGTTACGTGAATAAGCTAAAGTTTCTCTTATCTTGGAAGACTGCCAGTTCACTGCCTTCTACTCTCATTGCAAGGTCGGTATTGACGGATGAAGTATTACATGGCCTGACCTGGCACCACAAACACAAGCAAACAATTTCTTGGAATCAAATTCTTTATTTATTCATTGGAAAATTAATTAAACTGGTACTAAACATGCCAATTTTTATTCTTAAGTGGTTTTTTAATTATTAAAACGAGAAAGAGCAACAGCAATCATGAACCGAATACTACTGCATTGTTGTAAATCTGGTTGTAAAAATTTCCACGACACTCATTAAAATGATATTAAATAAATTTTCCAAACCAGGAAACCGAAGAAAAACTAAGACGTAAAACAACCACGCCTAGTGATGGGAAGGCGTTTGAATTCGTATTATAGCAATTTTGATGACCTCAGTTTATGAATAGTCAAAAGAAAAACTCTACCAGTCGGTATTTTTTAAATAAGAGAAAAATAATTACCTTAGCTGGAAAGAGCATGTTAAAATTAGTAACTTCAAAATCGCGAAGATATAATTTTTTTAAAGTGCGAATTTTGTAATAAAACATTTCAGCATGCAGGCATCTCTTGCCTACCAACTAATAGTCTCTACGCAGCCGATGTTAGGGTCATTTCTTGCTAGTGAGGGACCTGATAGAACGTAATAGGTCAACCTTTTAGCGTCTGCTTAGGAGAGTAACCAACTATGTTTTCAGACAAATTTTGAAAATTCATAACTTCACGAGTTTTGAACTCATTCGCTTCCTTCAAACTGACTTTTACAAATTTTAACGTATTCTTTCCAGCTATTGCAATTATATTTTGGAATTACATGATACAAGCTCCTTGAATTTGATATATATCAACAGAGATTTGACATCAGCAACAAGGCAAGCAAACAACATGCTAATTAAGATGAGTAATAGAACACCAAATAGCTGGTGCCACATTAGTGGTCCTTAATAATGAGAGTTAAACATCTTTTTACAGGTTTTGGAGTCCAATTTCGGTGTCTTTGTTAGATTTCTTAAACAAATTTAGCTTTAGTATAGATAGCCGATTTAATGAAATTACTGCAGCAAAATCTATTGTAGCCGGGGCATACAATCAAACGATTACACTGTGTACCCAACGTGGCTTAAATAATCAATGGTTACACCTGAGCTTTGGACTTCCTTAAACCATTCTTTTAGGTAGCATAAACTCGTTTTTTGAAACACTTTGGGGTTTTGTTTTTGTTTGTTTTTTTTTCATGGCTTTTATTTTCTTAGGCTTTATTATAGGAGTGGCAAGCCGAAAGCAAGCCTTTTTCTAATTTACATACTAAAGTTGATAAAATGAAGCAATTGTAAAGGCGGATCTGCAGTCATTATTGGGATACCTTTCTTCTTGGTATCATGATTTCCTGGTGCTAGTTAAATATAATCTAAAGAAGCTTTATTGTAAAAAAAAGACTTTAAATCAAAGTATAAAAGCTAATATTACGGCGTTGTAAAAGGGACTTGGAAGCCAACAAGGTTTTTTTTTGCGCAATGGTGCGTCGATAGTTTTTAAATGCAATTTCTATGTTCTAAAAAACAATGTCGTTACAACTCAACTTTCTTTTGCTAAATCAAGCAATGCCCCCAAAAAGATCAGAAGGACCCTCCCTTTTTTCCGCCCTCTCACCGAAGAAAAATAAGGAGAAATAAAGGGAGCCTCTACCAGAAGGGAAGTCTTTGAGTAAATCAATCTATGATTAAATGTGCCGATTCTTTAGAGTTAAAGAACTGATTGACATACCTTTCTTGCGAACTAGTTTAATGTTTGTCATTCAAGCGCGTTTTGCAGTTGCAAAACAGACCGTAAACTGGGAGAAATTCAGGGCCCGGTTGTAAGAAGCCTGGATAGCGCTATCCAATGCATAAATCTTATCAGTGGATCAATTTATTGGATAACAACATCGACTTATCCACTGGATAAGGATTTATCCGCCGGATAGCGCTATCCAGGCTTCGTACAACCGGGCCCTGGTGTAAAGTAGACTTGAATAACATAACTATTCTCCTTATAAGGCTTAATTTAGAAATAGAATGTATAAGAAAAACTAGTGACTCTTTTCACTTTACTTGATGACAAGATGTGATCGAAATGTCGTTACTTTTTGTCACCTAGTTTTTCTTATAAATTCTCCTATTCTTCTTACATATAATTCATACTAATTCACGCGAAAACTTGCCATGAATAGTAATGATGATGAAGCTGAAAATAATCAGATGGAGTAGTTCATACTGATTATTTCATGGATTAGACCAGCGATAAAGACTGTCCAGGCTTGTAAAGGCGACTAGAGACTAAATTTACTGTCCAGTCATGAACGACAACGAAATCAGATCCTGGTACAAGTTGAATGTTCACCATTTGGAAGCTGTTGTGTAAATATGCTCGCCAGACATCCTTCCCGACTGGGGATTTGTAGATCAGGTAGTCTAAACGAAAATCTTTTTTCCTCCATTTAAGATTTTGAGAAGTATTTCTTGTTTTACATTGCGAGTTTAGATATTTCGTTTTGTTGTTTTGTTTGCTGGCACGCACTGTGCCTCGACAAAAGAAACAACGTACAGTGAGCCCAATGGCGCCGGACAGAAAAACGAGAAATAAAAGAAATATAGACAGCTTTTCTTCTAATTCCATTATACTTGTTCTTTCCTGAAAAGAAAAAAGAAAAATGGCCTCTTTATTAGGCCTGAATGGTAAGTTAAAATTAGAAATCTATTAACAAGAATGAAGCCTTTTGTATGCTACTACAGATGCTAGACAAGGGGATTTTCTAAGAAAATTTACCTTTCCAATTAACAGAAGTAATTAATTTAACAACTTTATCCGATAAATAGAGAACTCATCTCCTTTGTAAAGAAAACTAAAAGTACAACACATTAATTTGGAGGCGATAAAAGATAAAAAAAAAAAAAAGTACAAAGATAATAAACAAAAGTTATAATTGAAATTTTGACAACACCGAGTTCAGTGAAACAGCTTCTGAATTAAGCAAAATATAACACATTAAAGTCAGCAGTTTCTGACCATCGTTTTGAGAACCCTAAAATCCTGCATTTCACCTAAAAGCTTACGTACTCTTCTGAAGTTTAAAAACCCAGGGCATGTAAAAAGTGTAGGTATTGTTTTCGATGATGAATTTTGTTCAGTCTTGAAAGTTGCAAGAGTAATATCGAGTTTAGCTCACCTTGACCATGCACAGTGTTTATGCCTTCTTGTAATTCATCTTCTTCTTCCGTCTATATATCGTTAGCAATTAATTCAGTGAAGAAGAATTAAATGAGTATAGATGACATTAAACCAATACTTAGCATGCAGATCCCACTCTACTAACTATGATTAAACTGAGCTTAAGTTACACCAATTTTTAATGCAAGCTCACGTTGGCAAGGGCATGTCTGGGCAAGATTATCCCGACTGCAGTCGCGTCATAAAAGCCGGGAAAATATGTAAAAACTCGCTCTTTCTTTCTGGTGTTGCTTTGAGAACTGTTAACAGCTTCTAATTCATTTTCCTTAAGTACTTGGAAACTGTTTTTCTTGCGGCGTGTCGACTGTTTTTTTGTTGTTGCTTTTTTGGTGTGTCGCAGAGTTTAAATAATACGTAAAAGTGGACAAAATGATAAAGCAGTCTGTTCCATTATCTATTTTAATGTTCAGATCCATGCCATTAAAACCATGCCTATAAGAACTCAAACCCATCCTTTAAATAACTAGTCAGATTCTTTATAATTAGATAGCTTTGTCCTTTGTTCCATCAAGCAGGAAAGTAAGTGACTTGGAAGATTTTAACAATGTTTTTTAAAATTTCAAACCTTTGCGAAGTCCTCATACGAAGTCCTAGTCAACTTATTTATAAGAAAAATAAGTTTTCGCACTTCTTGTTTCAACATAGGGGTCTTAGTAAGTGAATATTCGCACTTTTAGAGTGGGTGACATACATATTTGGTGGACATAAACAGTTTTCATGCGCTTCTATGATTATCGTTTTACAAACTGAAAGAAAATCCCACTTTCAAATAGAAAAAATCAGCATAAAAATTAGAATTCTAGGCCCGTAAATAGCGAGACATTTTGCGACAAATAAAAACAATAGAATCAACGATATGAGGTGTTTTTATGGATATTACCTTGGGATGATCATGAGATATTGGGGCGCGTCGAGCGATCCCGTATGACAGGTGTTATTGTTTGGCGCAAGACTTGGCTTTGGTTGTGTGGACCATAATCTTCTATCAGAGACTACATCAGCCAATCACCATCTACTAAAGAAAAGACTGTTCTTGAGAAAGTAATTTGGAATGTTCTAATATGGTAAGGGATATCGAAATTAACTACAATGGGGCAGCGAAAAGAAGGAATAAATTGAATACGCGAGACACTCTGACAAACGACTGTTGTTGGATATTTCTCACTCATGTCAGACTTATGAAAACATGACTGTCGCATCACGGCTTCTATTTTTGGCTACGCTTTTACTCACAGCTTAGTCAGTGATTCACACTTTGTGTGTGTGTGTGTGTGCGTGTGTGTGTGTGTGTGTGCGTCGGTCTCAAACGTGCCTCACTGAGACATGAAAGTCATGATGGTGAACTTTAAAATGGCGAACTTTAAAAAGACAGTTAAATTTGAACTTTTGATTTTGTTGTGTTGTGTTATGTACTTTCTCCTACTACCACTGAGTTGCCGGCGTTTTGCAACTTTTTCTCAACTTCTGGCCTTGCATTAACTGATCAGTTTTATATTATAATGTCATTTTATTATATATACTCGATAAGATATCAGTTGACCATAATGACGTTAGCTTAAGATATATCCTAGCTTACATCCAACTTTAGTTAAACATAGAAATAGCTAATTGAATGATAGGCCTTACATCATGGAACCGATGCTAAATTTGTGCACGTGTTTGTTGACTAATGCGGCGGTTTCTATACATATACGCCGTCATACGTGTAGCGTGTAGGGTCCATTTTCATTGCAAAGAGAGACAATTAAACATGTCCATAACAGGACCCGAAATGAACGCAAATCCCAAACTCACAGTTAATAACTTTTTGTAAATTAGATTACTGACTGATACTCACCACATGTGCTAGTGTTGCTATTTGGAATAACCGACGGACTGGCTTTAAATTATGTCCATCTCTCACAGCCATGATCAAAAAAATGACTTACGGAAACCCATTCCTAACTGTTGTTTTGATTTGATTTGATTCGTAATTTCCACACAGAAGTGGCTAAAAAAAGATTAGTGCAAGTTCACCTTCGAATTCTTTCTCTAAACACCGTTTCAAAAGGTTGTCTTCGTTCAGGGTCGCCATTATGTAGCAATTAAACAAAGCTAATTATGAGTATTTTATTCGCTGTCACTGGGTAATTATAGACGCAAATATAGATCAGTAAATCATTTGACACTGTTTCTGCTTGGATGAAGATTGATCAGTCGACGAACAAACATGTCTCCAAAAAGGTGCGGCGCTCGACAGCTATAAACTTGCGACTTGAATATTGCGTCATTAGTGTACCTCAAAGTCAGGCATGCTTAGTAAAGACAGCGCTGTGCCGGCTTTCCCAAGACAAAATATGGCGAAGCACTGGATGAGATGACAGGACAAAGCTGGTACCATTAGAACACAGGCGGAAGGAATCAATCCAACCACCGAAATGTGCCTTTCGCTTAAAAAAAAAAAAAAACCAACAAAAAACAAGGAAATAAGAGTACAAATATTTGTAGTTTCGGTTCCTGGAAGTCTATAGCTTAAACTGCTTGTCTTCAGTGGACTTCTTATATAGTAATGGAAACGTAAAAGTTACAGGACAACATTCTCTGCAGAAACTAGAGGATTCTCCTCCATTTTAAAATTTTCAAATTGTTAGTTCTGATTTAGTACATTCTAATTTTCTCATACAAATGAACTGAACTTAGCATTCATTTTTATCCTCTGTTTGTTTTAGGTCTACTTAACGTCATTGGGTACTTGTTCAGTGTAAACTTCTATGACAATCCGGACTACTCGAATAAAAACCCTTATTAATACTCTTAACCCTATGTGAAAGTCTGTTCTATATTTAACCACCTACTTCCTACAGTTGTCATTTTTACGCCAGCAGCAGGTAACGAAATTACTTATGGTTTATTTTGAGCAGTTTTTGAGAATTCTCACACGTGTTTGATGAAGCATTAGCGTCTATAGTGCATGTTTATCTTAGACACCTGTGTTGACACAACTTAGTAAAAGACCTAGCTATACTTAGCTATACTGCTCCTCGAAACCGAGGAGCTCTGGGTACGAGCTGGGACACATTTAAGGTGCTATTCACTGCACATGCATAAACTACTCTCGTCAGTTTTCGCCCACTGAGATTGTCTGGGAAAATACCTCAGGGCTGTCAACTCTCCCGGATAAACCGGGAGTCTCCAGATTTTGGACCGTATCTCCCGGTCTCCAGATTAGAGTCTCAAATCTCCCGGATAATCCCCGAAGCCGACCATTTCTTGTAAGACTCGACTTTGACAATAAAATTCCAATTATTTTGTGTTGTTTGTGTTATTATACATCGCTAACAAAATCAAAACGTTCCTCAAAAAGTGTTCTTGCAAGCAGTCAAAAATAAACCAATCACATCAAATGTTACAAAGCGAAAGACGTCTTTTCGCGTGTTTTTTGAAGCGCTGTGACCTCATGTCCCTTCCCTATCAATTCTCCAGATTTGAATATCTCGGGGGTTGACAGCCCTGATACCTTCTTACCGATACGGCAGTCATCCTGAAAATTATGAGGTGCCGAGGGGTCAACTAACGATTTCCAATGAGAAAAAATCTTCTCCGTACGTATGCTTTCCAAATCATTTTACGTTTGACCCTCGACAGAGTCATAATATAAAAGTGGTCGCCGTATCAGTAAAACGGTGTATTGTGTCACTATTTCAGGACCGTAGCAAGGGAAGGGGCTAGAGGTCTCTTCCCCCCCC